AAAATAGTTTTTTTCAATTTTGATTTTTTAATTTTTAAAAACTTAAAAAAGGAAAAACTACTTCTAAAATCAATAAATAAACAAGTCTAAAGTTTAGGTTTTTTTTTTTCAGGAGATGATCATGAAAGATAAACTAATGAAGTTTGATCAAATAATTAATCTTTTTTGTTTTTTATATTTTGATTGGTGAAATGATTTTTATAGTTAGATTTAAAGTTTAATTTAAGTGAAATAAACCAAAAATGTAAAATTAAGAATCTGATAAAATTACTAATCTTTTGAAAAAAAATCAAAATTATAAATCTATATTTGAAACGTGAATTTTTAGTTTTAACAAGTTTTGAAACAGTACATTAGATTAGGCAGAGAAAGAAGTGGGTTGAATAGAGCTGCTACTGAATTTGGGGAACAAAGATGGGAGATGAAAGGACAAAAAACATAAACTGCGACAATGATAGTCGCACCCACAAAACATTATGAAAAGTCAATATTGGCTGCCACCTAAAACATACATATTTTTATAAATTACAACAATAAAACTCATTTATGCAGTAATTTTATCATAATTCTGCATGCACCAATTTTAATTTTGTCACCTCAGATTTGTTAATGTTGTATAAATTATAGAATTATTTTGATCAGATATTTTCTAAGTTTTCTTAGAGTCTATGAAATCGTGTTGAATGTGGTAGTTTTTGCGTGCTAATAAGGTAATCTGCCAACAAAAACAAAAGTTAATTATGAGAAAGAGACATGTTAATAGTAAAACACTTTTAGTTAAAAAAATTCTTATATAAAAATTCAGAAAAATGATTTGTCTCAATTGTTGTTAGATAAACATGCTATTTTATAATTTTTAAAAATAATAAAAACTGTTAAAAAATATGCATATATATCTCCATCGGATCTATGGAAAGTAATGTTACTCCTTTTCATTTGATGTCGATCTCCAACAGTCTTCACAGCATTTCATCTTTTACTGTAAGATGTTATCCTTCTGTCATCTCACTTTTATTCTTGGCTTGACTTTTAAACAGCTCTTTCCATCAAATTGCAAAGATAATTTTCTGCAGCATAGGGTCCTAGTGAATCATAGTTAGGTTAAACATCTTTAGTTACTTTAATTTGCTTCACTACTTTTTTGTCTACATGGACTCAAGCAATATAATATCTTCAACTCTAGCTACTGAGTTATGCAGAATTTTGGTTACAATTTTCAAAATAGTTGCCCTAGCACCTTCAAACTGGTTAAAATCTTATACAAGCCAGGATCAGTCCTAATAGTATCTTGCAAGTTCATGACTAGGAACCTTTTCTGTATACAAATTTTAATTTTAATTTGTTTAAACATAACTTTTTCAAAATAATCAGAACTAACCTTTCAAAAAATATAATATTAAATACTCTATGTATATAAATTTTAACTACAACAAATGTATTTTTAAATATTAAAGCTACCAGATTTTTGGACCCTTCCTTCTTTAGAACCTTTTTCTTTTTTTATCTCAATTAAAATATATACCTATATTTACACAGAATTAGTTGGTTCGTAGGGACCCTTACCTCTAATGTTAGGGTTCAAAATGTCACAGCCATTATTTCAGAGCAGAATTTACCTAATTACTAATGCTAATTACAGAATTTGATAAATTAAAAGTATTGTTATAATGTTCAGTATATGTATTGGTGATTAATTACAGATATCCAATCAATACAAGCGTTGAACAAAGTACCACAGTAGAAATCACAATCAAAACCTTTATTTGTCGCTTCTGTTAATTCTACCATGGAAGATGACCCTAACGACTGCGTGTAGATTTTAATCATCAAATCAAAGGGCCCTACCAATTAAAATTGATTTGGGAAAGTTGCCTAGGGTGTGAAAGAAACTTTAGGGCCATCTAATCAAATCATAGCAGAAAAAAGATAATGTAATCAATACATGAAGAACCTGCTGTTATTTATCATTTTATTATATAGTTAAACTCTAGGTAGCAGACAAGTTCCTCTCATAATGGACGAAGATGGGTATGTTTTCTGCTTTCTGTCAAAAGCTATACTTCAATAATGAATATAACTTCAACCGAAAAACTCCAAAAGAAGAACCAAACAATTCTATCTTGGTATCTACTAACTTGAAAGAACACAAACAACCTAGTCGAGTTCTGATGTTGAGGAGAAGGGCCAATGGAATACTCCAACATGAAAAGTATCTGTATAGTGTGCCCTCTATGTATGTAAAGTATGCAGAATAGCTTGTGCTACTTGATTTAATGCCCTAATGACTAGCAAGTGTCCTTGAACTTCTGGCCCACATGTACATCGATTATACCATTCATGCCTGGTTGGAATTCATGAACTTCAGATATTTTCAACATGAGGAAAAAATGCATTAATTATAGGCTTATCATCCAGCACAATTTTACACGAATCCTGCAAACTTCGTACAAACTAATTTCTGCGTCAAAGGAAACATTTTATTTGAGGTAACAAAGCTGAGACCTAACTATCAACATCTTAATTTGTTAGTCTGCACAAAGTCAGATATTTTTTCTAAACAACAATATATTTCTATATATTAAGTAAACTATATATATATCTGTCTATTTAGCAGTTCAAAAAAGCAAGTGATTGGGCAGGCCCTTTATTTATAAAGGGTTCATCAACCAAAGCCCACAAATTTATGCGTCTCTTTAATAAGGGGGAAAAAAAATGAAAAGAGGAAAGAAACAAGGGAAGTTTGGAACAAATGAGTTGAAATTAAAGGTAGCAATTTCAACCACAAATGTTATCTTGTTCCTTTTCCCTTATATAGTACAGACAGGAAAAAAGGAAAACCATCCACAAAGAAATGAAATTAAAGGACTATGAGAAATTTAAGCAAGACTTTACAGAGGATAATTGTGCTCTCGCAATCAAGCACTCCTACATGTGTTGTACTAGTACACAAATTCACCAGTGCTTGGTTGTCATAGTTATCTCCTGCTTGAAAAGAACCCCAGACCAACCCTTTGCTTTGCCATATATCTATCGTGTGGTCCTTGTAATTATGCCATCTAAAGTGGTCTTGATCGAGACTGCTATAGCTATAGATAGATAGATAGAGATAGAGAGAGGGTTGGAGATTTCAGTGGTGGGGAGAACGGCATGTATAAATGGAAAGACAGAAAGAGAAAGGTAGAAAAAACAGAAAATTTTGGTGTACTATAGAGTGCTTTCAAGTGTGGATGGACTATTGCCATTTTGACAACAAGTTGGGGGAGATCATGGGGTGTTTTTGAATCTATGGCAAGTTGCAATTGGTTATTAGGGCTTGGAGGGTGTCATACTCTACACATATATGCCAGTGGCAAGTACAGGTACAAGTGCACAACTGCATAAGCATTCTATCTTGCTTCCTTTCTTTCTTCACACAGAGGTAGACATAGATAGAGAGAGAGAAAGAGCCTACTTCACCATATATATCAAAGTAAGCATCACCGATAGATAAGCACGCACCACGCATGGGAAGAGAACCAACCAGCATCCACAACATTCTCAAATACACTCTGATATGGATGGATAGATAGAAAGATAGATACTCAAACATACATTGACATCTACCACAAACACAACACAAGAAAAGAGAGTTATGATAGAGTTAGATAGTGAGTGTGAGAGCGATAGCGCATCTCTTTTTGGAGAAAGTGACGTCCTGAGCAACCCCAGTCAAAGGGAGCATTGGCTACCATTGCAAGCCCGTTCAATGGAAATAATTGTACTTTGTTTCCCCCATTATCTACTTTTAGGGTTAGACACACACGGACACCTGGAGGTTTCCAACAGTGAATCAAAATTATAGTTAAAAAAGACAAAGGGAATAATAAGAAATGAAATTATTTGAGTTATGTGAATCTTCCCATAAAAAGTCACGGCATGTGATATCCCACTCCTACGCACCACGCTGTGTGGGACAACGTTGAACGCAAATAGTACCCTTAATTTCAACAAACGAATTACATCTTCAACATTTATCCAATACCAGTTTATTCATTATCAGATATATATACATATATATAGAGAGAGAGAGAGAGAGAGAGAGAGAATTTCACTCAAAAACTTCGTCATAAAACATGCCTATTTCATGATGATTCTTTTCCATTAATATGTGAAAATTAAAATGCTCAAACAATGCCAGAAGAGAAGGTTGTAGAAGAGGAAATTAAAGGTGTGTGGTGTGGGGGAAGTGAGGAAGTTGGATTTAGTTTTCTGTCAACTCGCGTGTGTGCTGTGCGCACCACGTGAAGTGGCACAAACTATAACTTTTTTCCTATCCACTCACTTGTTCCTGCAATGTTATCGTTCTAAAGAGATCACAACTTTTTGCCCAAAAGAAACGATTAAGAAAAAGGATGCCCCTTGTCTACAATAAATTGCTCATGTTGGGTCCTTTGTCTCTCACATTATCTTTAGTACTCACTCACACTCACACTCTCCCTCTCCCACCCTCACCCTCTCTCATAATTCAACCCTCATGCTTATAAGGTATTATTGTCTATGTGCTGTCATTCTCACGCTGTACCAAACTTGGCTTGAGCAAGCCAATTCTACTGTGACACCACTCACACAAACTCACACACACACACACTCACACGGACACAAACATACACAAACGGTGGTGCATCATATCCGTAGCCTTGTCCCTCTCACTCATCACACTCACCCCTAGGTGAAAATAAAGAACAGTAGTACTAGCTAGTAAGTTTTAATTAGTAATACTCACTTGGCTGTCTTTCTCAAACTATGTTATGTCTTCCTTTCCTTGCAGGGAACAGCCAAAACCAAAAAATTTGAAAGGTTGGAAAAAGATAGAATTAAAACCTGCTCTTTCTTTTTCAATAGGGAGATAGAGATAGCAAACATGTCGTTCTCAGGCATTGAAAGTCCCAACTAATAACCAGTTCCATCTTGAAGGGTAGGGTTACTTTGGTGCAGTCCAAAGCTTAATATTAATTCCAGATATGTATTCCTCAAATACCTCCCTCAACGGCAATGACCTACTCTCGTACCCTAACCAACCATTTTGCTTTAGGCCTTTTTCCTTTGAAAGCAACCCAACCATTTCTTCAAAAGACCAAACCAATTCCAATTACGCCCTTCCTCCTCCTCCTCCTTTCTCCATTCTCCAATCCTTTGATGAAAATATCTTTCTCGAACACCACCATGACTTGCTCTTACTTCATCAGTCTCTAGCTGAGCCTGGACTCCCCAAAAACCTTGACGTTGCGGCTGAAATCGCGGCAATTCCTTGCGCCGGACAAGGTGGCGCCACCGCCATGGATCACACTACAAGGAAGAGATCCAGCAAGAGAGACCGCCACAGCAAGATCAACACAGCACGAGGCCTCAGGGACCGAAGAATGAGGTTGTCCCTAGAAGTTGCAAAGAGATTCTTCGGCTTGCAAGACATGCTAGGCTTTGACAAGGCCAGCAAAACCGTTGAGTGGCTACTAAACCAAGCAAAAGTTGAAATCAAACAACTTGCAAGGGAAAAAAACAGTGTTGGTGGTGCCAAGAGTGCATCATCAACTTCTGAATGCGAAGGGGTGTCTAGCTTGGACGAGGTTGTAGTGAGTGGAGTTAACGAGGAGCAAGAGAGGGAGACACCCCACATGAAGCGAAGAACTAGTAAGGTTTGTAGAAAGAGTGCATTCAATCCTATAGATAAGGAATCGAGGGGAAAGGCAAGAGAAAGGGCGAGAGAAAGAACAAGAGAGAAGATGAGGTCTCGGAGAGTACTTGCTGCAGATGCTTCAAACCTGAACCGTTTGAGTTCTTGGAATCCCTTTGAAACGGTTGAAGACTCTGCGGGTACTCAGAGCCAAAGCGTGAATCGCCCCTCCATAGATGTTCACCTTCCTGAGGCTGAAGAACCAAGTTCTCAGGCAAAGGAGCATTTGGGAACCGTGGAAGACATGGCGCAGCATCAAGATAATTCTTTGGTGATCATGAATAAGTGGAGCCCAACCATGATGTTCAATTCTCTCAACAACTCGTCAATCCTTCAAGAAGTAAGTTTAAATTCATTGCTGATGTAGTTGTTAACTTCACATTCACAAAAGAATGGCATGATTTCCTTATAGAGAAGGTTATATCAAGTGCCCTTAGAGAGAATACCAGTAAAGAAATTACATGAATTGAGAGTGTTACAGATACATTAATTCCACCGTGATTTCAATTAAGGGTTTGATGTATCTGTTTGCAAGAAGACCATTGGGTTATACTATATTACATACATACATATATATATATATATATATATATATATATATATATATATGGGCGTGGGTGTGTGCATGCTTTGCTTAACCATCAGCATGTTGCTGTTTCACTGAAAACCATGCATTTTCTATATATATACTAAAAGTATCGGTAATGTTGCTGATGATTCATTTATGAAATTGTTTGCAGCATCAATATGCAGAATTTCAGTCCTTGGGAAAACCTTGGGAAGCCTACAACGATCACATCTAGTATTTGCGTTCATCATGGATTGCACCCATCATGTTTTTGTGTCAGCAGAATAAAATACAATCATGCTGTGTATTTTTCTTTACTTTCCTTTTGGCATCTACTGTTGTAAGGTATCTACCGTCAACTAGCATATGGGAAACAATATTTCGTGAATGCTAATTTTTATGCTATCTCTCTATATAAATTTTTTCTTCTCACCATTTATGCCCCACCTCCATCTTAGTGGTGTTTTAATTAAGAAACATAATTAATTGAATCTTTTTCCTAACTCTGGTTGGATATGCATTAAGAAAATCATTTATGCTGCTATTGCTGTCATATAATTTGCATATGACATCGTTTTTTATGCTACTTTGACATATTTTTGTGTAGTGGTTTCTTCTTTTTTTTTCAAATTCCAATCATCCCTCCGAAAAGTGATAGGGTTACTTCTCAGATATAATTGTTTGTGGATAACTTCCTAAGTGTATTCCAATTCGTGAATTCAGCTTATAGCTTTACAGACGTGACTGAATTGACACTTGGGTGATGATCCACTATATCTCCACTTTCAGGACTACTTACATTATTAACTCATCCATTTTCATTTTTCAACATCAGTTAGGTCGATTATAACACAGAATTTAGGAACACAAACAAAAGACCAAGTTAAGCATGTAATTAAAAAATATTATTTGAGCCAAACGATAAATTAACTTCGAAAGATCAAAATTCTCACGTTAGTTTGACATGGATATGGTGGAAGAAAACACTTATTGTACGTGAAAGTTATATATATGGGAAAATTTATAAACAAAGAAATTTTTGAAAAAAATTGTGGTAAAATGGACTGTATAAATCTATATATGGGGTTAGTGTAGGTTCATCTTCCATACTAGTGTGTGTCTCTCTTTCTCTTTTATTGCAGGGTCTTTAATTAGAAAATTGTAAGATGTTTCATTATGCATAAAATGTCACTACTTGCCTTGAAAGGAACTTTCTGTGCTATAGCCAAGAGCATAGAAATTCGAAGGTTCAATGAGAAAAAATTAATCCAAAATATGTGCGAAAACTTCTGAATATTTGGTATGCATGTGTTGCATTTTTATTTTTTATTTTCACTTTCACTAAAATGTTTCTAGGGAGGGGAGCTAGCTGAGTTATCTCCTTTTAGAATTTGTTAATATAATTGTACAAAAAATAATTTGACCACGAGAGATATAAAACGATTTACGACTAATAAAGTACTGGAACAAAATACATAAGTGTTAGTGCTATAAAAGCCTTTAATTTTATGCAATGTTAATGTAAAAAAATTACAAATAATCAAATATTAGTAGTATAACTTTAAAGATTGTGATCGAACGATACTCCATAAACTTTTTGCAGTATAAAGTATTGTCTCTAAAAACCAATATAAAAACATATTATTTAAAATATATAATTATGTTTAGCTTGGAAGAACGTATAAATACGTTGAGAAAATGAACAATTTCTCCGCAAAAATATTCCATTTACACACAGAGGTGAATAAACTTAACGAAAGAAGATTTTGGTACACTGATCTTCGAGGCAAAAGAATTATAAATGCATTGTGGTTTTAATACCTATCCTATTTACTATTTATTATTTGTAAGGGGGTAATTTAAAAATCATATAAAAATACATGATATTTATAAAAATAAAATATAGTTTATTAAAAAAGAATTATGGCACAATAAAAACATCGCGTTGGCGTAATTTCAAAGCATTTGAAATGCAGAAACTTTATTCGTATGATGGAATAAAAAAATGTTAAAGAATATTTTAGATAAAGTAGATAATATAACTTTATCGAATTTTGATGGCAGGTAGCGATGTTTAGTCATTTCATGAGTTTCATAATATGCAACACATTGCAGTATTTAAAGAACTTCAATGGTTTTGCTTTCGGAAATGTGCTTCTTTTTTGGACCCAGAAATGGTGAAATTGAAATGTATGAGAACACCAAAAATTAACATAACTTCTGTTACACAATCCTCAGTGTATATAGAGAATAATCCAACAGTGTGTGATGCACGCGAATCTGTTCTACTTATGGCATTTTTTTTAGCATTGTTTATTAAGATAATTTAGAAGTTGTGAAAAAAACACTTGAGAATATTATTTTTTTTAGAGAGTAATTATTCAAATACACGTATAGAATACAATACCTGTTAGATAGAGAAAAAATCAAATTATTTTAATAAAATAATCAAAATTAATTTAAAAACTGAAAATCAGTTAAAATTAATTTTATTTTTTTATTATATTTTTTCTTTTATGGATCAGTAAGATCTTGATTCATATTTTATTTTAAATCAAGTCACAGTGACTTATATTTAAATATAATAATATAAATTTAAAATTAATTAACAACTAAAATATCTCTCAAAAGTTATCTTTAGATATTGTATTTTATTTATAGTATATTTAGATTAAATATCTAAATTTATCAATGAATAATGTTAAATTATTGTGGTAATTTTTAGTTATAATATTATGAAATTTATTTATAAATTTGAAAAACAAAATAAAGCTATACAATATAATAATATTCATTAAAAAAATCATAACATAACTTTTATTTGACACTTATATTAATAAACATAATTATTTTACATTTTTTAAAAAGGTTTGACAATTTTATGATAATAAAACTCATCAAACTACAAAATATTAATTTTATTTTGTTAATATCTCATATTAAATTGAAAATAGATTAAATTAAATCTTTTTATGTTTACTTCGATATCTAATGAAAAACTAATTTAAACTATATGTACACAATACCTAAATCCGTTAAACATAACATATCTTAAGAAAAAGTAAAGTAATTTACTTTGACATTTCGTAAAGTTTTTAAACTTTTACAAGAATATGCTATACTATTATTTTAAATAATTAAAATGGTTAGTATAGAAATAACACAAAAATAAAAAAAGATATATATAACACAAGAAAGTTAACAACTAGAATAATCTAAGTGTAATTTACTGAATAAGGATATATATATATATATATATATATATATATATATATATATAATTTATAGTCCCATAAATAGAATAAAACTAAAAATCTACCATCTATTATATTTTTAATAATTCAGAAAGTATATACGTTCAATACAGCTATAAAGTATATATGATGTGGTATATATATATATATATATATATATATATATATATATATATATATATATATATATATATATATATGTATATGTATATATAAAAACCAAATTTACAACTATACGTTTTCAATATATTCTACACCTTTTGTAAGGAGTAAATTTCTGCATAATATATCTAGAACCAAAACACTTAGTAAAATTGAATAGTAAGAATGAAAAGATTTAAAACTTGAGATTTAATATAAAAAAAAAAATCTTTTCATATTCTGCTTGAATTAAAAGTTGAAAACTTTCTGGGGATGCATATAATGTAAAATCTGGATTGAAGGCTGCAGCAGAAATATAGATTTGATGGGGTGAGTGGTGTAAATATTCGTTTTCTTACTGTCAAAAGTAAAGTCAACAAAGGAAGGAAGAAAGAAAAGAAGTAGCAGATTGGTTGGTGGAAGTGGAAGTCCTTTCTTTATATAACACCCATCCAAGACACCCAAGAGAACTCAACCAGGTACTGCTTTCGTTCAGAATATCTGCACCAGTGTCACTCCAACTCATCTTTTTTTTTTTCTTACTTAGAAAAGTTTAAGAATTTTAAATTAGAGAGATTTTTTAAGATGACACACTTAGGTTTTATGAATATTTATAAATTAATCATAAAAAAATCACATGTTAATGATGGATTTTTTATTATTATTATAAGTTTTAGCATTCACACTTATATCTTTATTAGATATAAGTCCGAATTTGTTGATTTGAGACTTCGATTCTTTCTAAAAGATGGAAATGGAATCTCAAAAGTTTCAATTATCAGTACGGTTTGTAACTGAAATTTTGCTCTATAGTCTTCGAATTAATTTGCTGAGTTTAATCCACATTCAATTCGGATTCACATTTCTGGACTAATAAAAAAATATTTTGTAAAAAAATATTGATATAATATTTTACAATAACTATTATAAAATCTAAGTTCTTCAACTTCACCACTAATTTAATTTCCCTTTCCTACTTCAATCTCATATTGAAAATTCATTTCAAAACTGTCATTATTTTAATAGAGGTTATGATCATCTTGTACTTGAGATTTATTTTTGTGATGAATTTTAAGACATATTTTGGTTAAATATAAAAAAAAAATGCATGATGTTTTAACCAAAATTTGTCCTTAACCACCTTTTTTTTTAAATTGTATATGTAAGTTGAGGAAAACAAGTATTTATTTTAAAAAATAATAATTTAGGACAAATATAGAATATAACAAATTTAATTCTTTCATTTCCCTGTTATCAGCAATGCTGGAGACAGGTACAGGAACAAACTTGGAAAACATGAATCTCCCATGAAAATCAATGAAGAGCTTAATAACCAGAAATAGGAAAACGACAAATATAGCAGCAGAACCAGAAACCTGACCAGTCTAAGACATTCATATGTTGTTAACCGCTAATTCTATAAATCATCACAACATTAAACTCACAAAAACATGAGAGTCATTTGTTTGGTTATATTTTTTTCCAAAAATAGAAAAGCAAGAACAATATCACAGGAGCAAGAGAAAGGAAGCATCCAGAACCCTAGAGAATGGAGAGCAGAGTAGCAGCAACCTGCAACTCTTCCACATATAGTAAATTAGGAACTTTCCTACTAAACGCATATACCCTTTTTGTTTCGGTCGCAGCAGTGAAATGATGCATCATTTTTAGGAGCAAAAACAATATAAAAACCTCACAGTAATTACTGAATGTTCAAAATGTTGTCTGCATATATATCCTTAAAACCCTTTTTGGGATCTAATTTCTCACTAGTTTAATTAGGGTTTTCTTTCTCATCTGCAAGGAAAAAAAATCTGACTGATGGGGGGGGGGGGACCAA